TAGTTTTTGAGATATTGCAATTAAAAGGCGGAGGTCCATGGTGAAAGACACTGTATAAACGAGTTATCAAATAATGGTATGAATTGGTTTTAGCTGTCATTCATAGTGTACGTACAGCCAGTCAGTCATTGACTTCACGACTAACAGTGTTATCGATAGTATTTTTTATTAACAAACTGCAACAGAACGCGCCCAGTTTGATTTGATCAAGATCTTTAATTAGTAAAAACTTTATTTGCTGTTGTAGTAAAGATAAATAAACAAGATTAATCTAAATATATGCAAATGTCCTTAAAGTAAGTTAGATATTAATTTAATTAACTAGTACATTTTACAATTGTCTCATTTCCAACGCTAGATCCAACTCTCATTATAATTTAAATTTAGAGAAGAATATAATAATTAAGCTTGCAAAACTAATTATTTTAATTGAATTTATGCAAAAATGAATAATTAATTAAATTTACTGTTAGTAAGTTTATTAATTATCCCTTCTCCTCTGAGTACGTAGGTTTAAATGTAATTTTAACAAAATGAATGAATGAATGGATTTATTTAATTTGTTTTATAGTTGTTTCCGAAGTGAGTCAATACAAGCGTTTCTACCAAGAGTTGCATTCATTAGGTTCGGGAGCTTCTGGGGAAGTATTTGTTGTTAAATATAAATATGATGGACGAGAATATGCGGTTAAAAAAATAAGACTTGAAAGTAATTTAGTGTTATTTTGATATGTTTAGTATAACTATTATAGCATTAAAATGTATTTTACTGTATTTGAAAATAATATTTCGTTAAATTTCAAATTATTTATAATTTATATAATTAATACACTTACAGGTGATGATGATTTACAGGAATGTATGAAAGAAATGCAAAATTTGATAAAAGTTAGGTCAGAATATTGTGTCCAATATATGAATCAATGGAATGAAGATAATGTGTATTTCATTGAAATGGAATTGTGTTCCAATAGTCTTAAGAATATTATTCAACACAAACCACAAGTATTTTGTCGACAACCGGGAGAACCCATGAATTCAATCGAGTTTTACATTTCGTGTCATATATTCAAAGAGATCTTAGAATGCGTTCAATATTTACATGAATTGAATCCTCCGGTCGTTCATAGAGATCTAAAACCCGACAATATATTAGTGGCGAAGACTGTAAGGAACGGCAGGTATATAAAAGTGGCTGATTTTGGGTTGGCATCACTGCACTCCAGTTCCTTTGTAAGTCATACCAAAGGAGTGGGAACTCGTCAATACATGGCACCGGAAGTTAAATTGCAAACCAAATACACACCAAAAGCGGATATTTATAACCTGGCTATTATTGCACACAAATTGTTTAATTTGAATAATTTTATGTAATTATTTTGATATTTAGTTGCATGTCATTAAAATTTATTATTATTCTTGATTACAGTTCCCCGATTGAGTTGAATATTTACTCGGGATATGAAATATACGACAAATTCATAAAATTGGATCAAATCATAGACTCGATGTGTGTTCCCAGTCATAGCACTCGACCCGAGTGTTCACAAGTATTATCGGAATATAACTTATGGTCTATTCATGAGAATTGTCTCAAAACTGATCCCACATTTGATTCCACACTAAAACTCATTCAACAAAATGATTACAATTTTTTTGCGGAATATTTTAATGCAAAATATGAAGGGATGGTTAGACCACAAAAGGCCCACAATGTAAAAGGTCTACAATCCAAAAGACTTACAGTCCAATTGGCTAACCGACTAAAAGATCTACTTTTCAACTTAATTATGAACTTTATAATAAATAATTTATCATGAATTAAAAAGTTGCAAAATAGTCAATTAAATAGTGTATTCAAAAAAGTTATAATTTTTTGATGAAATTTACAAATGATTATAGGCTGTAATTAATAGCAGTTAATATAAAATGTTTGCCAAAATAGCGGTAACTCGTTATGTTAAAATTACTATATGTTAGAATTGAGCTAGATCAAGACAAAATTTTTTGCAACTATGGTTTTTTTGCACCAACACATCCATATGATG